TTCTGTCTAATACAGTATTACTCAATCTTGGAACGTTCACGACATTCCTACTTAACCTCCCTGAATTTTCCCGCAGGCTTGTTGGCTGGAGAATTCTGGGAGTTGAAGTCCACGCATCTTAAAGTTGCCAAGGTTGAGAAACACTGGATTAGACAGACAAAGGAATCTGCTTTATACCAGATAGACTGTCTCTATATTCAGTCCTGCCTATTCTGAATAGGGGCTTCATTACAGGGTATCAGGCAGGGCAATATTTTCCATTTCCTGCTACCCCATCTTTCCCACCCTGACCATTCTCCTGATGAACGGACTTCAACTCCCAGAGTTCCCCAGCCAAGAATTCTGGGAGTTGAAATCTGCCCATCTGGAAGGTTGAGAAACATGGTTTTAACCATAGATGAAGACTGAAACCAGGACGTTTTGCATGAAACGCAAGTACAGTAGTCTATCACTGAGCAATGCTCCTTAGAGAGGTCTATCGCAAATGAGAAATATTTTAGGGCAAAAAAGCCTTAATTAACCTTGAAGGCCTGTTGATAGAAGGGCAGATAGCAAATGAGTCTTCTCTTTTTTTTGGCAATGGCACCCTGCAACAAGAGATGGAGATACGTAAGCTGAAGGCACTTTTCTTGGTACCTCTAAGATCAATGGGGCATTCCCCAAAGAGGACTAAGATCTCCAGAAAGCTCTCAAAGAATGAGAACATTACATACAGTCCATACAATCAAACCAGATGGTCTTACACTCTGGATAGAAATCTCACATGATCATGGGGGTGGATCGGTAAGAGCCTGAAGGGACAAGGAAAGTATCTAATGTAAGGAAATACTGAGTATCTGCTGTAGGATCATATTCAGTAAATGTCCCCCAGATCTTTACACCATTCTGAATCTTCTTATACACAAGCAGAGGAGGAAAACAGATTAGTATGCTTTGCCAGCAAACTCTTGGAGAAGTGATAGCCAAAGATTTTCCGGTGGCTGGCCTTGGAATTACGGAGCAAGAAACATTACAAACAAGAAGGACGTAGGCTGCAGCATGTCCAAACTCCACTTGTCTTGAAAAGACTTTGTGTACTTGTAATTCCAGGTTTGGAGAGTCACTTCAAGTCTTCCTCTCAAAGCAGGTCCTCCTCCTCCTGGTTGCCCAGTGAAAGAGAAGTCAGGTTGTGCAAAGGATCTTACACCTTTTTTGCACTCTCACAACTTGCATGTTCAGAGAAGGTAGCAAATAGACAGAGGCGCAGCCAGCGCTGGAAGTCCCCTTCTCCTTGCTGGGTAGGCTTCAACAGGTGCCTAAGGTTGCATCTTTCGTAGGTCATTCCTCAGGATAGCAATTTCTCCATGATGGGGTTGGTAAATGAAAAACTGCTAAACATGTTTTGGTCCATACTGTTGATGAGGGTTCGGTCTCCAAGCGACAGTCGGGGATTTTCATTGAGAAATTCCTTGTCAAAGTTGCTGCAGTCCCCTGGCGATTTCTTTCAAGGAGAGAGAGGAAGTGGGGTTAGACACAGAAAAAGGAGAGACTCCCTCCCCCCAAAATCTACTGAGTAGCCAATAAAGGGGGAAAGTTTTCTTAAGATGAAATCTCTCAGCTTTTAAAAAACACAGGACTGGAAAAATGGGGGAATCTGTGCCCTTATCTTATCACATAACTTCTGCAGAGAAATGTGGAAGGTCTTCAGATGAGGCCTTCAGAAAGAAGAAACAGCAGTTCTATGAACACGGTCCTTGGCCAATGCTTCATCTTGGGTCGGGTAGCATTTTCAGGACCCAAGGTAATACAGCTGAGGGTGGAGTCAGACACTAGCACAATTAAGTGGCATGCACATATAAGACACTCACACTGTCTCACACACACACACAATGGCTGCATTTGCAGATACTTACCCTGGTTATTGAATTCTCATGTTGTGGATTTGCATAAAAAATTGCACAACTCATTTAGAAAGAAATTTACCAAGGTTAACGTTAACCAAACTTAGCGTATTGTATGAAGGCATCTGCTAGGAACTGATCTGATGTGGTTAAGCCAATTGTGTGAATGCAATCGCTGGTAGGGTTCGCACCACAAGCTTAACTTTGTTTCTGGATATCAAATACCTGACTGGGAATTGTATTTTTTTTTTAAGTATTTGTCATATTTATATTGTATTTTAATTTTTGTTAGCTGCCCAGAGTTGCACTGGTGAGGCGGGCAGCCTTCTAAATAAATAAAAATCAGTCAATCAATCAAACCCTATTTTGTCTGTTGCACAATAAATAGGCTACATTTACATGATAGGGTAGACCCTAAATCCAGATTAACAAAACACAATTTATCCAAACCACAAATAAACTGAGTTATAGCTGAATGTGATGGCCTGATTCACCCAGTTAGGCTAAGCCCATAACTTGGTTTCCCCATAGCAACACTAAACCACAAACTACCCAACCCTATTTTAACCTAGTCTAGCATAGTAGCCATTGAAAAATAAAACTAACCCAACACACTTTCTTGGTACAACACACTCAGCTGTAGAAGAACAATGCAACAACAAAAAAAACCTTGGTCAAGTTTATTATTTAATTTATACCTGTTTTTCTACTCCAGCGAGTACTCAAGGCTGCTTAGCAAGTATTAAAGCACCTTGGGGGAACACAACCGTGCACTCACCCTGCAACCCCATCTCTCTCGCTGATCAGTGGGAGAAAGGGGGAAGCCCAAAATTTGTTGCAGATTGCTGGTTTTTTGATCAGCAACAGCAGGGGAAAATCTGCAAATCGGTTCCTACAGCCAATGGATATGACCTAAAGCAAGTTATATGGGTTCTTCCCATCAAGGGCAGAAAATCCCGCAATCCATTTTCTGCTGTTTGGCGGAATATGCAGATCAACTGGCCAATGGGAAAGGGGGCGTGGCTCCCCACCAGTCAGAAGGGCCCTCTTAGCCTTGGATCTCCAAACAACAGAGGAAACCAAATTGTGAGTCGTCTTTCATCACTCCCTCGGTAGCTGTGTTGCAACGCATACATTTCAGTACCCTCTCTGGCTACTGAAAAATGTGGGTTTGGGCTATTTTAATGAGACTTTCTAAGGTTGCTTTTGTAACGGAAAGATGGCGCTGCAACGGCAAACGTTGCAGAAAAGAGGCTCTGGGTTCAATCTTGGCATCAGTGTTTTTGAGTGGGCTTTTTATGGCTTAATCGTTTTGAATGGTCCTTTGTGGTGACACGACTGGATATTTTTGTACTTTTGTACGGCTTTTTGTGTTTTCAACGCCGTAAGCCACCCAGAGTCACGTCTGTGAGATGGGCGGCTATATAAATGGAAGAAACAAATAAATTAGATCAAGCTAACTGTGGCTTCATTTAGAGAAATTTAGAGAATTTGGAGAAACAAAGGCAGTCAAAGAAGCAGTTCTCACCACTACAGGCCTGAAAGGTGGCTCCACTTCCTTTTTTTCCAAAGCTTCCCAGTTGATTTCTTGGAAGAAGGCATGTTGGCGGACGTTTCCTTTGACTCCCAACCGCCTCTCTGGCTCTCTAACGAAAAGCTAGAAATCAAAAGAACGAAGCTTAAGGAACTTGATAACATTGATATGAATGATATGTGAAACATTTGGAATAACAAGCTCAGTTGTCCCGTTCTTGCAATCCAGTGGACAGTGGCTTTAAATACTGTGAAATCAGTCTCTTTAAATAGTGTTTCTCAACCTTAGGAACTTTAAGATGTGTGGACTTGGCTGGCTGGGGAATTCTGGGAGTTGAAGTCCACACATCTTAAAGTTCCTAAGGTTGAGAAACACTGCTTTAGATCCTAAGCTGAGGATAATACAATAAAAAGGGTTTTCCTTCTATACCGAGTACCAGAAAATGTTTCAGAACGACTGGATGCAATTAGCTTGCTGTTGGAGATACAATTCAGAAGTTGGACTACTGATTGCTTGATTGTGTACCATCAAGTCATCACAGTTGGACCATTAGCTCATATGACTTAATCTTGCCCTATTATTGCCACAGTTTGAGCTGAAACCCACAGGACTGTCAACATGCCTTTATGCCAATTATTGCACATCAAGGGTACGTACATTCTTCTTGACTTCCCAATATTTGGAATGATCAAGCTAAAAGAAGAGGTCAGGTTTTTAAATATAGGTTATGGCCAATAATCAGTAGACAACACTGGAAAGATAAATCTATACCTGAACTATAATGGATCGCTGATATGATTCCCTGAACTATAAAAAGGAGGAGTACAATACAGTCAGAGACTTGCCAGATTCTGTTGTTATAGCCAATCTCAACAAAAGGAGTTTCAGTCTTCCTGTGGAGCTAATTTTTGGTCTGGTCTACCTAGTGGGCTGACAAAAACCCACAACCCTGAGAGGTAGTTGGCTTCCCTTCAGTGAAGGTGGTCAAGCAAGGCTGGACAGCTATCCTTCATGAATGCCTTAATTCGTATTCTTGCACTGAGCAGGACTTCATGGTGACATGAGGATTCCATACTTCTAGGGTTCTAGGTTCTAGTTCCCAGAGTTTATCTCAGACTTTTAAGGACCTAAGATTTTCCCTGTTGGGTCTAGGCCCATCTAATCCAGCCTTCAGGAGATAGCAAATGGTCATTAATATTCAGAAGGTAGAAGAATGGACTGAACCTTTATGAGTCCATCCAGTCCCCTTGGAAAATCATCCTAATTGATTATGATGGCCACAACTTCTTAGAGCAAATTCTACAGTTTAATTATGCCGTGTGAAAAAAGGATTTTCTTCCTCCAGTCGTGAATCTTCCTGCATTTAGTTTTAGTGGAAGACTTCAAGTTCTATCCTTGTAGTGGTGAGAACCACCTTCCCATCATCTACTCCAAGCATGAGTTCCATACATCTACTGTTTCTCCCACTACCTCCCTTCCTTCCAAAATAAAAAGCCTGAATTGCTGTCATCTCCTCCAGCAATCTGTTCATTTGGGTTGTACTTTTTTGCAGCTTTTTCAGCTCTTGAATATCCTTCTTAAGGCGCAGTGACCATATCTGCGCACACTATTCCCAAAGTGGCATTACAGGATCTTCTGCACCATCCACCAGAATTGCGTTCCCAAGAAGACTCCCATCTGAACCCATCAATCATGGACTTTATTTGTATTTCATTCAAACTGGAAAGATCTCTATTCTGGTGTAATGGAATCTCCCAACCTCACCTTTACTAAGAGATCCCTTGCAATCTTGTCAAGCCAGCGGGGATAGAATGGGCTATCCATGCGGATGGATTGAAAGAGCTGTTCTTCATCCTGGCCATGGAAGGGAGACTGGCCAATCAACATCTCATACAGAAGGACGCCAAAGGACCACCAGTCAACAGACAGGCTGTATTTCTGTCCAAGAAGAATCTGCCATTGAAACAGAAGGGAGACTTTAAGAAAAGGAAAACTTAAAACAGGACGGTGCACATTTTAATAACGATTCAGAAAAAGCGGTTTGGATTTTTTGGAGCACAGGTTTAAGAGTTGCCGTAAACTGCGCAGAGGCCTGGGAAAACAAGAGCTCCTTTAATAAATAGCAGAGGGGTTGTGACTGCACTCCTGCGAGGTCAGAAATGCTTCCTGAGTCAGTGCTGAAGTGTGCAAAACCATCTGTTTTATATCAGTTGTCTGGCTTATTTAGCTCAGGAATGTTAGTATTTCCTCATTCATTCATTCATTTTATTTCATTAGCTTATTGGAAGCAGATCTCCAGGTACAGGCAGAGGTTAGTGGAAGTTGATTCTGGGAGTGTGAACAAGGTGAAGCCTAGTCATCATGCAACATAGCTGGACACACTCGTAATAGGTTTGCCGATTTCTATACAAGTTTCTTGTTGTTAATTCCCTGTAGGACAGGAATTACCTGTTAATTCCCTTGTAGGACAGGAATTACCTAGAGCCCAGGCTTAAGATTAACAGGCACGCTTTTTATATTTTTAATGCATTTATTGACTTTTTTTTTAACTCTGTTGTATGCTGCCCAGAGTCGCTTGGAAAAGTGAGATGGGCGGCCCATAAATTGTGTGTGCAAATAAATAAATATGATCCATTTTGCTATGTGATGAATCATATATGATTCTGAGAGCTGTTTATACGGCTGTCTCTGATAGTGTAAATTGTTCCTCCGCGTTGCCAGGATTGATTGATTGATTGATTGATTGATTGATTGATTGATTTAGGAAAACGAACATCACGCTTCTTTTGAAAAATGTCTCAGAACTATTTACTCACGGGTGAAAAATCTGGTAGAAATTTGTTGGGCGCCGCCCAGAGTTGCTCCTTGTGAGATGGGTGGCCATATAAACGCAATTGATTAAAATAAATAAATAAAAGCCGTAATAAAATCAGTCTGTTATAAACTGTATGAAATCACCAAAAGCAATCATTCATTAAACTGAACTGCTAGAAGTTGCTGGATAAGATTTTTGCTGGATATGAAGTGGCTCCTTTGGAATCAGTTGCTGTGATCTGAAGACTCCCTAAGGGTGGATTTACATAACATCCTGAACCTGTAGAATTAAGGTTCTCCATTTTAACCTCCATTTTCTGGCATTTACAGTAGATTAAATGATAATGAAATGATAAATTAAGTTCATGCATTACACAAAAGTCTATGCGCAAAACTGATGACACTCAGTGTATTTGGAAGTGCTGTGGATAAGCTTGTAAAAGTTCTGGTGAACAGTGTTTCTTTGATTGATTGATTGATTGATTGAATTTATATGACTACCCATCTCACTTGCCTGTGGCTCTGGGTGGCGTACAGAATTAAAACACAACTAACAATCTTCAACCATTAAAACCAATTTAAAAATAGCGTTGCACAAACACAGACTAATAGAAGTAAAAAGCACTTAAGGGATTTGAGGCCAGAAGCTTTACTGGCCTTAAATATTAAAAACACAATGAAGGATTGTATCTTCAGAAAATAAAGTCCTGTTCATTATCTAAGTCAGTGTTTCTG